CATAAAGTAAAATTATATCATGTTGTACTGAACTCAACCTGATTAAAGCAACTCTACCATCTGTGTGTTAAATTAAGCACGGGACATATTAGTTATCACTGTAGTTTTCAACAATATACAAATTTCAAGATGGTTTTAACATGAAACCACTCATATCATGTGTGACCATTTTCACAAATCTTTCTCGGGCAATTATATTTTTATGCAATATAACTTTAAAGAGCTTGTTTTGATTTTTGTCTGGTTGTGCCAGTTAACAACTACACATTGTGCTCTTACATTCAGAAGAATATTACTGCTTTTCTTCTAGCAGTTTCTCTGACAAAGCAAGAAGAATTTAATTTAAGCATTCATTACATAAAAGGCAACAGACCTAAGGACATTATTCTCAATAAAGGGAGGAGCCCCAATCATAAGATGTTGAGGAACAGAGAGAGAAGCTAGAAGGTTTCCATGTGTAAAAATCTCAAGAGTTTATCCAGGGCTCCATTTATTATTTATAAATGCTTTTTCCCCCATATCTTTATAACTGACTGTAAGATTTTCCCACAGTTCGGATGCACACATGACTCAACCATCTGAAGAACTTCTTGACAGTGCTCAACAATTTAGACATCACAAAAGCAGACTTCCATTAGTTACCGGAGACTTTGAGATTAGCATCTTGGTGCAGTGCATATTGAATTATGCGATGGCGTCACATCAGTCAGACAGCAGTAACGTGCATTCATCAGACTGAGCAAAGTAATGAAGCCCTAAATCTCCCTGCGGGTTTGTTGTGGCGCTGTTCATCTTGCAGCGTTTTAATTGATTTCGGACTTGCTTGTGAGTAAAGGTGATATGCGTCACTGCATGGGGACAGCTGATGGAGTCAATGTTTGTCCTGTGTTATACAGGAGTGTAAAGCAAAGGCATGAAGACTTTGTGAAATTTTTCAAATTCATACGAAATGTTAGTAGTCATTGGCTATATCGCCTATTATATACTATAAGGCCTTACATAAAGGAACTGAAGAGACATTTATAATTTTGTATAGTATAGCACAGGAAGTACAGCATAGCCATGGGTTTCCTCAGGAATTTCCTATGGGTTTTCAGTTTTGATTTATGAGTAAACAGTTAACATTACTTAAAGAGACATAAATGACACAAATTCATAACTTTAGTGAATTTTTTTAATGTATTTCTTTATTTTTCTTTATTTTTATTGTATATTATTGTCAGCATCAACAGCTTTTTTCATGGCAAAATCAAAGTATTTTTAAACAAACAATAAACAAATAGGCTTCTTACAACATTGCAGTAACAACTAGGCTATATAAGATCTTTTAATTTGATATTTGCTAAAAATTCTAAAAGTTAGAAAAGCTTGTTGTGTGATTTAAAAGCATAAAGAACACAATGATTGTACAATTTGTTAAGTACATAAATTAACTTCCTTTGTGGCCACTGTAGCTTTTGTTTAACAACTTACATTTTTAAAAACAGTGGCTCCATAATTCATATTTAAGGAATGACTGCATGGAAAAAATGGTGTAGAAACAATTTTCACTCAGAAATTGCTAGTAATTTTCCAAATTAATTACAAAGAAAAAGCAAGTAACACAAGTTAACAAAGTAGAAAGACTGGAATATACAAATAAACACTACTATATTCTTTGTTTTATTTACAACTTTAAAAAAAATAATAATTGTTTACACTATTTAAGCTATAACACAAAACATGAAAGTCTCTTCAAATAATGTTAACCACAGACTTTTTTACAGATATATACAGTATATATATATATATATATATA